TGCAGTATGAGATAATACAGCAAAATTCCCGGGATTAATAACGATAATACTGATGAACGATTTAATGTTTTATTTTTTCAGTCCTACTCATTGTAAACAATGATGACAGTTTATTCTTCAAGTTTGAGATCGGATTTAGCGACGATCGTATCAAGGAATATTTAAGTACACCAACAGGTATGTTTTAGAAATAGTTGTTTACGATTCGTACAAAACAGAATTTGAATAATCGTTTAGAAATAGCTGGCAACAGCGTTGCTTAACAGAAACTGTACTATAAAATATAGGTATATTGCGCATGGCCGTTTTTGACCAAAATACAATTTTTTATAATATATATATATATATATGTAAAAAAATTACATGATTGGTATATAATTTTTGTAAAATTAGAGCAATAATATAATTACATAACTTTGAAAATAATTAAATGTATCAAGTACATAACATTTTGTAAAATAAAATGTAGAAAATTATTTAAAATACATTTAAGGATCTATATATTATATTGACATTATTTTTTTTTATTAATATGTCACAGTATGTAATATGTATAATATTATATACAAAAATAAAATTTAAAACATATGTGTAAATTTTTGACATATTAACATATAAATAATGTTAATAAATAGATATTCTTGTATTTTAAATAACTTTCCACATTTTATTTTACATGTTATACAACTGATACTTTTAACAATTTTCAAAATTATATAATTATTCAAATGCCCAAATTTCATAAACAATTATATACCAATTATTTTATTTTTTTACCTATTTAAAATAAAATGTTGTTTTGGTCGAAAAGTGAATCGACCGAAAAGGAAATCCATAGGATTTTGGTCGAAAACGGTCTCGCCCCATATATTATACTTTATATACATGACCGTAAATGTAATCAAACTCATTGGGAATTAGATTATTTACTTTTTTTTTAGAACGTTTATCGTCACGAAATATTTGCAAATGTACGAGTGCTGTTATAAGAACTCACACCCCACTTTAATACTACCGTATACAATACGCTTATATTATTATGTACCTATAATACACATGTCCAATGACTGGAGGGTGGACGTTTTTATAACAGCGACCATTCGTTTAGTTAAGCCAACTGCTATGTGTTCTAGTCAGCTATATTAAAATTCTATCCCCGAACACGGCGCTCGAGTATTATATAAGCCAGGATACCTATATATTATTAGAAATCAAATGCGTTTGTGGTGCGCTACTAAATCAACGGTTTAAATGGTAAACGCGTAAAATACGACACGGGTGTCACGTACATTACACAGGTATACTATAATATAAAATACCATGTCTTCAAATGTGAAAACCGCACCGAATAGCGATCTATAAATTTGTTATTTATACCTATATGATATTAAATTCGAGGGGGTCTCGAGCGCGCGTACGCTTCGCTCGTGTGTGGTTTTTACGCAATGATATCGGTCACGCGATGAAATACGATTTTGGGTGAAAACGTATTGTGTTATACCACCCAGTGAGAGGGTGAACGGGTATTTTCACCACAATCGAGGCCATCTTACCGAGTCGTAAATGTACACTATAACAATATTATGCTCCAGCGTTGTCGGTCGTGACCGCACGTGTGTGATCCGCCCGCGCCACTATAAGGAATTATTGCGCATCTTCGCTGGGGGTGGTAGTTTGTCATTTTTAGGACCGAAAACCTTCGTACAGATTATTTGCGATTCGTTCATTTATTGTATTATCGTAACCGAAAAATGTTGTGGGAACGGGTCACACATAAAAATATATAGATATCTACACAAAGAGTGTAAATGCACACGACCTTATCATTTCACTATGATATTATGTGATATATATTGTACGTTGTATCTATATAATAAACTACAGAATTTTACAGCTGTTTTGAAATACTATACACCTGCGACTTGCGAGACGTTCATTAAAATTTTAATTCCCAAGGTTAATCGTCGTCGGAAAATGAAAAACGCTGGAAACACGTGACGAAAAAAACTAGACTATAATATATTATATATACTTCGGGGATTTCGGCACGTTTATTATATTTCTTTGCTCGGAGCGGTTTATATATATATATATATATATATATATATATGTACGACAATTTTGGTGAAAAACAATACGAAATATGAGTTTCAATTTGGGTCTTTCGTAAAAGAAAAGGAAACAATTTAATATGAAAATATGAGGTCATTTTATATTGCACTGTAAATGTATAGTAGGTACCTTACCTTTTGAAGACGTGACAAAAGTTAAGTAACCCTAAACAAAAAAGATTACGTCAGAACGACTGCACTTTCTTCAGGGAGTTACTTAATTCATATTTGTTATTTAAAGTAATACGAATTGATAAGGATATATAATATATACATGAAATTATTAAATATAATCCGTATAATACGACGAATAATATTTTTATGGAAATAAAACGTCATAATTTATTTTATGAAATACGAAAATATTTAATTTTGTTTGCGCCCGTGCGAGTAACGTGATGATAAAACACTTTTATATTTTCATCATTATTATTATTAATTCTGTATAAAATAAATACACCTTTTTTTTTTTTTTTTATCCTTGATAAATTGATATTTTGATCACATGTAATGTTTAGTTGGTGTGTCGAATTATATAAATGCAGTAATAGGTTCAAAAAAATAACAATTATTGTGAAAACCGACACGCATAATAATATAATATAGATAATTTTTTTTTTATGTATACAGACTGCGTTTTATGATGGCCACTATCTTTACAGTATGATTTTTGATAAACAAATACTGAGTATTATAAACAAGTAACACACACATGGTCTTGGTAAAACTCACATAAAAAAAAAAAATGTATAAATAAATATGCAGACGATAAAAAAAAGTTCTCGTCCATCAACGCATAGTTAATTGTCAATATATTTGTAAATGATGAATTTTACCGTCAATAAGGCTGTGGTGTTGCGGAAGAGAGGTTTTTCGGTGCTTTACAAACGAACGGCTTTTGAAAGAGTGCGTTGATTAAAAGCGTATAATATTAAGTCTGTGCATGTATATATACACATGTGTACATGAAATCGCCACCGCACACGATTCGAATACAATTTCTCATTCAGCTCGGTGTCGATCTGATAAATGTTAATTTTACCCTTTGATCCTGACCGCGTCCGAAACAGACTGTGTGCACTCGAACGAAAGACCACGTTAAAACCAAAATCATGAACTAAGCCTCACACACTATATTACATGTATTATATCAGTACTCAATTTCTATACCTATATTTATATTATACAGCTATATATGTAATGCGTAAAAAGAAATGAATTCACATATTATTTTATCGTTTTTATCACAAGCATTGTCCATCGATCACTATCGTATAATATTTATTATAATGCATCAACATGTTTTGTATTCTACTACCTACGCATAAAAATAATGAAATGTAAATAGGTTGTCATTAAAACAATATTTTGTATCAAAAAAAAATTTGTTACGATAAAAGATATTTCATAAAATATTTCGATATCTGTAAAAACGTACGCGTGTTAAATGAGCTTATACAAGTACCTACTTCGGACAATAAACAAAAAATGTGATTTTTTTTATAAATTGATGGTAATACAATTACAGCGTAGCCCGTCAAATGGATCATTTCAAATTTATATGAACAAAAACAGTTATTGCTAAATAATTTTGAATTTCATTAATTAAATTTACTATAGTGTCCTCGAGTTTTCAGGCTTACTGTCAATTTATACACAAATGATTGCGATTGGTAGTCGTTAAGTATTAGCCGCCACTCAAGACGTGCAACATACTGAAATCGGACTGAAGAATGTATACATAATACATATAGGTCATAAAGTAATCTGGAATGTAACCTGGATAGGCTCAAAACTAGCGTTCGGTATGCGATTCGGATTTCTACCAAAAGACAATCTCAAGCATTCACAGCTACGACTTATATCGATTTAATACATGTATAGTATCATATTCGACTATACTCACTCATATTGTTTATTAAACTATATGTTGTATAACGTATATATAAGTATAGTGAGATTTGATATATTATTATAATACGAATTATACGTATTTTGTGCGTAATTCGGCCCCTACGTCGCTATTGTCACTATCGATAACTAACACTGTAAACTATACACGGATAGGATATCAGAGACAGTTATAATATACTCGTATATACAATTTGTACATAAGACGATGGATTAAAGCGAAATTAATAAAGTTAATGTGCTACAATTTCACACTAAAGTTCTGAATAAAATCGTATGAGTTCCACAATTTTAATACCAATATGAATCGTACGCGTAAGTATAAGGTATAGGATCGTATAAACCTCTCCTTAACTTAACCTTTTTTAGGGTCTATACTTCTCATGAGTAAGAAAATTTATCAGGAAACTGTGTTAATGAAATTCGAGTGTTTTGCTGTTCACGCACAATATTTTTGTTAGAACGTAGGTATTTTATGTTTTTAATAATATTTAAAAAGACCCTACTCCCTCCACAAATGCTTTACTTGCTGTATGTTATATTATGAAAATATGTAAAAACTAAAGTATTAAATATTATTATTTTTCGAAATAACGTCGTCAAAAAAACTTAAAACCATTATGAATTGACTACATTTTTTCACAGTGCCTATTTATGATAGTATGCCGCGGTAGAGATAATAATATAATGAGACGATATTTTATCAATACAGCATTCAAAATCGAAATCAATATTTTTTTAGTAGAATTGTTCTTTCAAACATAACGATATTTCATGCGATTTATTTGTGAACGTGTGAAACAATTTTCACGATACACCGTAATGGGTGTTCCACAGCCGTACTTATAAGTTTGGAAAGTCTCCAAGCGGAGTCGATAAAATAAAAAAAATAAATAAAAAACGTGTTAATGACGTATAGAAGATAACCCGGTGTATATATACATGTATAAATGTTAAATTCTAAATGTATATACTTACACAGTTGTGTTCACAAATGTTCTTCAAGTTCTTGCCTTCAGTCTGCAGTACTTCACAATATTTCCAACACTGTAACAAAAACGAAAAAAATCGATAATTATGTGGTATTAGTAATATATTATATACAAAGCAATTTATATAAACATATATATTTAGTATACACGCAACGTGTTGAGGAAGAAAAAAAAGGAGAAGAAAAAAATGAAAAATATCCAGAGTCGTCTACCTGGATTGACGAGTAGACATTTATTAATGCGGTGACTTTGGTGGGCGGAAAGAGCGGGCGATCGTGATTTGTTGGTCCAAGGGTTGATTTTATTTACTCGTCAAAAACCTTTGGTCTCCGCAGAAGACCTTGGGTATTCGGGTGAACGAAGGAATGGTTGGGTGCGCAAGTATCCATGAGTGTATATAGTTAACAATACAAAGTCCACCACACCCTCGAAAAAATATCTCAACAGAAAATACATGCGTGGCATGTGTACGAAAAAAGAAAAACTTTTTTCACGCAGAAGACGACCCCTAACAGTTGCACTTACGCTCTCGAAATCCTTTAAGGAAGACGTGCAGAGACGCATCTTGTATAGGGACGAGGGTGGGTGTCTGTGTGTGTGTGTGTGTGTGTGTGCGATGAGAATGTGTCCGGAAGGGGCTAGGAATGGCGGCGGAAAACGCCAGTGGCCGAAAAAAGATAAATTGCTCTATTGGGAAAACCGGTCACGTACTCGCGACGAGACTATATATAGATGAGCGGACGGACGGCAAATCGCGAGTGCGTCATTATTACTTTTGCCCAACACTCACCCCATGTTCAACTACCATCCCTCTTCCATCCAACCGACAGTCGAAACCTCGGGGCATTCTTTAATACGTCTGTACCCACATATATAATAAATTGCTCTAAATACCATGGTTAGGCTAGACACACACAATTTTAAGTTTATCGCAATGTTTTTACAACAGATCACGGTACAAGCCGTTCTCTTACTACCGAAATCGAATTTGTTTATATACAAACACCATCTTATACACAAATATATATAGTTGCACAGCGTAATCACTTTTAATGAAAAACACTGTACAATTTTCTAATCCAATATTGACGACGTGCAGGTGTAAATTTTTGGAAAGCAATTTTTTCTTCTAACGCTATTTCCTGTATGTATTATACCCGTGGGTACTTGGGTTAAACAAAAAACACGGTGATGGACAACGCACAACGTGCAAGGGATTTGTTCAAGGGATATATGTTATATATACCTATTATACCTACTTATTTATGTGTGTGTGTACAATTTGATTTGAAAATAAACACATATACATCAAGCACTTATACGGCGTTAAAAAAATTATAAATACAAAATAGTTTTAAAAAATCGAATATACCTAATAATGAAAAAAAAAACTGACGACCATAAATATAACACTTGAACGTCGATAAATTACTATGTATTGTGCTAGAGATTTGATGTAAAATTGTAAACGCCTATAATTATTATTTATATATCAAGATAAGTGTATTTTCACATATGTAAGGAGAACAAGAGATTTTTAATCACAGCTTTAAAGTACACTATACTCGAGCCTACTGCTGCTATGGTTTTGTTTATAGAAATTACCTACACATACTTCAATAATATACCTTACTCGTGTTGCAAAGTGATGGGAAAAATAAAGACGGCAAAGGAGAAATTTCTATTATTTCATATTTAATTATCATTCTCTGTCCAAGATGCGACGTCATTATTATGTTATTATATAATAGGTACTAACAAGGAAAATGATGGCTTATAACGTGCGCATCCAATTATTATTGTAAACTGTAAAAAATCAAAATAAACGATCGATTTTCGTTTTTAATTTTCGATATATATTCAAACATCTGTGATTCTCGTACGATGCCAGTACCGCCAGACGATGAAGTATTTTCTTCTATTTAGTTTTCTTTGTCGACTTCTTCAATTTTCCATTAACGCCCGACCTATTGTGGCCTGCAATCTCCGTCGTCACGAAAATCACTAAAGTAAGTTGGGCATACGCCCGACGCTTAATCACTTGCCATCACCGTGCTTATAATAGTATTATATTATTTTAACCCAGAGTTTCAGTGTGATGTATGCAGCGAAACAGTAGTATTTAATTTTTTAGAGGTGGGGAAGACGTGGGCGAGGATGGAAGTCAGACGATGCAGCAACGAATATTACCCAGTAGCCTCGCCGCCGGCAGGTATTTATGTACCTATATATATAATCAGAGATAGGTAGGTAGATAGGTAGATAGGTAGGTTTGAAAACCTATACACATACTTATATAATATATTATATTATAATACTGGTCATAGTAGTTATAGTACTTGTAGTGGTAGCTGTGTTTAGTAGTATAGAAGTAGCTAGTAGTATTAACAATAATAATGGCAGCTAATCAATCAGTTGCCCGACGATTCGTTATGCTCGGACAGTGCACTGCATATTATAATAGTCGTTGTCGTCGTCACCGTTTAAAGATATTATGCTAATGAAAAACCTCCGGCCGCCAGTTGGGTCGTGGTGCAGTTTGCATTCATTATGCGCGAGTCTAATAAGCGTACAAGCCGTCCATTACAATCTTAGCGCGTATATTATAATGTTCTAAATATGCGATTGGCTTTCGTTCGCAGGTTTTAGTTGCAATACGGTTGCTTCTGAGGCGTCACGCAGAAGAGGTGCATCTCCGAGTTCTCTGAAACCGCTCGTACTAGCAAACCTTATACCACCTACAGTTCACGGTTATATAATTTGCATCGATCCAATTATATGTGACACGTGCCCGGTCATGATATAAGCATCATAGATTTTTGATATTACTTATAAAAGTAAAGTCCGACCGGCCATAACGCGTAGTAAAAGTCGATGCTATCATAGCGCAGTAATAATGAAAAAAAAAATAACTGGTGACGGACCGTTGAAATAAATCAATACATTTTGACCTTGATCGCGTGGGTTGTATAATAAAATAATGCGTCACCTATCATACGCGGTCTCAGTACCCACACGACTAGATAGAGCTGTTCCTAACCAACGGCAACTGCAATTAGACATTTTTTTTTTTTTTGTCTATGGTGGTTGTTATAATATGTATTTCGAACAGGTTGACCAGAATGATAATTGTCTCCGTTTTATATCTATTTATATACCTTTCGTTTCAGTTATTATTATTTTTATTTAGTTCTATGCTAAACCTAAATTAATAATATAGCTTTCTATAAGATAAAAAACCAAGTGTAACTACAACGTTATTTAAGTCTTGGACTCGCGTGTATATCGTATATGTATAATATGTCCCTGCGGGCTTTCGTCCGTGTGCCGTTAACGAGATAACGGGGTCTCCACGGCTGTCGGACGAAACTTAAAACGCACTCATGCAGTCTTACAACTGCGCTATAGCTGCTTCTGACGGCTGAACGCTAAAGCGACGATTGAAGAGGGGGGGGAGGGCTAGAGAGCGAACACGACCGCTTTCAAAATGGAAGTGACATTTCGCCACCGCCGTCGTGGTCATCGGCGAAGCACAAGCAAATCCAGTTAAAGCAAAAAGTGGATTATGGTACGCTAATGTAAAAATAATAAAGTATCACATAATACAATATTTTCACTTAAATATTAATATTATTTAATATCCAAACATCCATCATCCTAAACACTTACGCGGTCAACCACCCAACTTTGATGGTTCTGATGGTGCAGGGAGTACCTAATATTTAGCATGTAAGGCTCAAGTTTAAATAACTTATAGCCATGTAACAATGACTCAACAGCATCTTCCTACAAGCTACAGTATTTTCATATTTTTTTTTTCAAATTTATTTATTGTACATATATTTTACATAAGTAATGTACTAATATGAAATAGATGCTCAATTATAATATTTTCTATAATTCTATAGCAAAAAAATATGTGCATACATTTTATTATTAAACTAATGAATGACATTAAATTAGACGTATTAAAATCATAAGCTATACAAAAAATATTGTAAAGGCAACATGCGGATAAAATGTAGTTTTTTTTACTTAATTTATTGAGAAAATCGCGTGTTTGCGGGGTAGCGTTCAGTCGGATGAACAGATTATTGAAGGAGAGGAAAAAAAATATTAAAAACGTTTTTCCCCACCGAAAAATGAGTTCCGTCGCCGGACGGGTAACAAGTGTAAAGCATCTGGCGTCCGATGTTTATTTATTTTTGTATATATATATATATTACTATTCGTCGGCGACCCACACGGTTAACTAAACGTATATGTATAAAATTCTCACAGGACTAGAAAAAAAAAATGAAAACAGAAACAATGAAAAAAAATCAGTATATTTCGGCAGTTTCTGAATAGATTGTGCGCGAAACTACTTACCCCTCACACAGTCGTAGCATTACATAGATGCGTAGAGCAAAAAAATAAAAATAAAATATGATCATGCTGCTGTATTCATCAATGTAATGGTAATAATATTGTCGATTCTGAGGAAATGATAACGATTTAGGCACGAAACTCTAAGTTGAACGGCATAATGTGTCTGCAACGATATTATTTGTGTTTAATATTAATTGCAGCTCTTTCAAAAGACCACTATTAAATAAAATAAAATTAATGAAAACTTTTATATCGTTTAAGATTGTTTACTTATCAGTTATAGTTGAAAATATTAAATATACGAAGTATACAAAGTCTAATGAAAATTTTGGACATTATAGTTGATGACTCGTAGATGAATTTAGGGACTGTGATAATTTAGGTAAGACGTGATGGACGTGTGATGATGCCCCGCGGAAACGTTGAAACAACATAATTAAAATATTGAGATTGTAGAACGATGCGCGAAACGAAGACGACAAAAAGTCAGACGTCATTTAAACAACACGCATTATACGGATTCACTGGTGTGAATAATTATTATTGTGGCGTCACTGCGACACAATGGTTTCAAAATGCACACGCATTAGAATAATACATATTTTTTAGACGAGTTATTTTGATGATGATACTATGGCGTCACAATATATATGTATATAATTAATTGTTTTGATGCGGGCGCGG